AAGTAGAACATAAATAGTCATTTATAAAGGAAGCAGTATCATTTTGTATGTTCTCTACTTCTAACTTGGTATTATTTTTGTCATGAGTCAAGTTAGTAATATCCAATTTCAAATTTTTATTTTCTAAATTTAACATATCATTGTTTTCTTGAAGAGCAATACTTTCTTGAGAAATGATATCAAATTTGGAAGCTAACTTCTCATGATCGGATTTTAAATCTTCATGCTTGCTTTTTAAATCAATAAAATCATTTTGTAATTTTTTGTAGGCATGCAATAATCTTTCACTAGCACAAGCAAGTTTATCATTAGGTAAATCATTAATATATTTGAACTCGTAAACCTCACTATGGCTATCGCCTAGTGCTCGTATGCATGAAGCTCCTTTTGAACTTAAAGAGGGATCCTCCAAAGCTTGTCGGATCGCCTCCAAGTCCCTTTGATGTGCTTCAATAAGTTTTCATAAGGTGTAAGAACTATCAAAATGAACAAACTTGTTAGACAAAGATGAATCAAATGCATTATGTAAGAATTCCAACAAGAGCTTGTTCATAATAAATAATCTTTTATCATTTTTATTCCACTTGGATTTCTCTAATGTGGACACAATATAAGCACAATCAATGACTTCCCATAAATTAATATTTTTAGATTAAACAAATATTTTGAATCTAAAACACCATTGAGCATAAGGGAAAACATTAAATTTAGGAACAATACTAGAATCACAGCCTAAACAAGATGCATCATTCATATCCATAATTTATAAAAATATGCAAGCAAGATACAAATGCAATCAAAACAAGATTAACATAAAAAAATAACTTGGATCTTTAACTCAAGGCGATTAGACCTTAAATCAAAGAGCACCAATCTCTGATACCAATTGTTAGACGCTAGAGCGGGGATGATTAGGGTCTTATGCTAATCTAATCCGATTAAATGCTAATTAAAATTAATTAACAATTTATCCTAGCAAGTATGAAATACAACAAGATATATGAGCAAGGATAAGCAATAAGAACAACAAGATATATATCCTATATGATAAATATATGCAAGGATATATAAACTAGCACAAGATGATATATCCTACCAAAGAGATATACAATATTATATATGCAAGGATATGTAAACTGACACAAGGGTAAACAAAAAGAACTAGATAGTGGATAATAAAAATAATGAGCTATGGACAATGGCGATAAGAAATATAAACATAAGATTAAGTGCGCCAAAGCAAACTCAAACACACGATATGATCACGGAGTTCGAACCTTCCGTCCTACGTCTCCGCTCCCCACTCCCGGAGAGAAATCCACTATCACAACCGGGTTTTCTACGCTTACCCGAATAACGTTTACACCTCACAATGTCAGTTTTCAATGTTCACCGATCAACGTCACTCCTCACAATCGGTTTTTTAGTTCACCGAAAACTTCACAACACACTCGGTTTTCTAGCTCACCGAAAACCTTACAATACTCATAATGTAAAAAATATAAATTTGTTCTCTACAATAGATGAGAACTCAATTAAGCACAACTCATTGTTATAATCTCTCACAACCCTATTATACTATGTATGCAAATACAATAAGCTCAATTGGGTGTGTGTAACAATGAGAAAAATCAAATCTAAACTCAATATAAAACTAGCTTTAATAGAAATGATAATCAACAAATAATTATAAATAACAGCTAAAGTTGAGTTTAGGAAAACTTCTCTAGATGACAAGAGAGAGAGATGGATTGAATGCCCAAAATACAATTGATAATCTCCTCAAGCTCTTGTAAAACTTTCTTCATAAACCAAACCCTTAAACAAGCTTAAAACAAGCTTAAACTATTTTTAAAACTCTTTAAAACATTCTCTTGGGTTGCTCTTAGAACTGAGATCAAGGGGGTATTTATAGCCTCCCAAAACCTCAGCCAAAATCTCCAAACAAAAGACCAAAAAACCCCAGCCAACGGTAACAAGAAATAGCCGTTGGAACAAAACTGACAGAGCGGCGGTCGACCAAAAAAATTCGCGGTCGACCGCGATCCAGATCCCAAACTAAGAAAACGAGCAAAGACTTCTTCGGTTGACCGGTGCGGTCGACCGTGGGAAGACAAACTATCTGCTGCCCACTGACGAATGAACTCAGGTGCGGTCGACCTGTGCGGTCGACCGAGGACTGATACATTCCAAAACTGATTTTAAAACAGATTTTAAGACTTTTGAAGATATGTTAAAAATAACAAATGAAGTCCAAAAATAATGAAACTTTGGGAAATGTATATGAACATGTTACAAAAAGAATTTTCCAAATTGGATTTCCCATTTGTGAAACATCATCATTTTGCAAAAAAGTCCAAAACATGAAAATGTAAACATATGAATTTTGACATTTAGGCTAAACCATGTTTTGAAACTTTGCACAATGATTTTGTAGACTTTAATAAAATATATATATGATTATTGTTAAGTCTAAAAACTAAGAAAACAATATTTTCACAAAATTGCATATTCTATGCAATTTAGAGTACTTAACACACATAATATAAATCCTAAACTAAATTACCCAAGCTTGATCTTGATCTTCATTGTGGCTCAACTTGGTACACGTTGCGGATGAAGCTGAACTTGGATCTTGAACTTGAATTGCATAAGCTTCAACCACTATTCCACCAACCTCCATTTGATATGATCGTTATGGCGCAATCCATCCATCCTCCAACATATTGTTTGTCTATAATTAAATAGAAATATACCAACACTAGACAAACAACATTAGTGGTAAATTGTTTGTTAAACATCATCAAAACAAAGAGGTCAACAGCTTCTTCACTACAATCCTGTGCTCGACCATATTGACGATTCTACCCTTATACCATCAGTATAAATACGATGTACTATTCCAACACAAGTTTCTTCAGGTTTTTCTGCAAAATCGATGTCTTCTACAAATTATACTCCACACATAAGAACTCTCACAGCTCTTCACTTTCTCCATTCAAGTCCACCAGCTGACTTAACCATCAGAGAAACCAAGGGAGAACCAATCCCCATCCTCTCATATTTTTCTATGTGTAAACTTTAGCCACTTAACTCAGAATTAGATATTCGGGGAAGGAAGCAGCTCCCCATCAACTTCACACTCATCCAATCATGAATATAATTGACTGTGTAATCACTTAACATCAACAGTTTGGCGCCCACTGTGCGGCCACTTTATTTTTCGAGAAAGCATGTCTGGTTCTGAGGATAGAGCTGATAAGTTTCACCCTATAGAACCACGCCAAAGTTATGTTACTCGAGCCCAGCTTGAAGAAATAGCTCAAAAGATTTCTCAATCTCTCCTAGAGCAATTTGTTACTTTTACTAGCGAACTTCTCAACTAACTTCCAAAGCCACAACTTGCTACCTCAACTATCCTCCCACCTTCTAGAGACCTGCGGTCGGAGACTCACCCTCCTTCCGGAGCACAGCAAGTAGTCCCGCATCAAACTCCTCATGCTGCTATCAAGCAATTAGGGATTGCATTGAGTATGCGACCCCGCCACCTCGTTGGTCAACTCACCACGGAGAGACTCGCTGGCGTCTTCTTTCTTATCAAGAAATCACTGGCGAGAGTCTTGACCTTGGTCACCATGGGGTCCACACCTGGGGAGTGGTCTCAGAGATTCTCCTCTATCATTGTGCCTCTCCAGCCCCCTCTGCTACCATAGGGGCATCTGGCTATGATTAGGTGTACAGACCGGTCGTAGAATCCATTGAGGGGAACACCCCTCTTTAAAATGACCTCATAAATGTCTCATGTGATAATTTCAAGTGCCTCACGTGGAGAAGTATAAAGGCGAGGAAGATCCGTCCGAGCATGTTCAGAACTACTATGATATAATTAGCATGCTCCAAGCATCGAAGGTATTTATCTACCGATGCTTCCCCATCACTCTTTTGGGGAGTGCTAAGCCCTGGTGGAATGCTCCTGAGAAGAAATCTATCAGTAGCTTCATCCACCACTTCTTGGATGACACCAAGCAGAAATTGTCTCCTCATGTGCTGATCCAGATGAGGCAAGGGCCAAGAGAGAGCCTTCGAACCTACTTTAAGAGGTTCTAAGCAAAGAGGCTGGAGGACAATGACCCAGGGAAAGTAGTTGCTATGTCTGCACTCGTGGTTGGCTTGCACAACAACGACTTGACCGACTCGCTTGCTAAGAAGCCTATCGCCAATTATGAGCAACTGATGGCCAAAGCTCACGGGTATATAGACATAGAAGATGCCCGAGCTTACACTATAACAAAATACAACATTTCTGACGAAACAAAAATGTTGGCAAAAGTTTAAAAAACATCGGGAAAAATATTTTCTGACACAAAATGCAGCGTCGCTAACACGTCATCAAAAGTGCGTCAAGAAAAGTATTTGGCGACGCAAAAAAACCTGCGTCAGTAAAAATATACACTTTTGACGACGGTTCATGCATCGGGAAAAGTACATCTTTTAGCGATGCATAATATTTTGCATCGGCAAAAGGTATGCAGAATTTTCTCAAATGCAAGGGTGCGTCGTCAAAATTAGTACTTTTGGCAACGCATGCTGCGTTGGCAAAAACCAAAACATCGGCAAAAGCATAGCTTTTATCATCGCAAAACTGTTCGTCGCTAAAAATTATACTTTTGGCGACACAATTTAGCATCGGCAAAAGTGTAGCTTTTAGCGACGCTTTATTCTGCGTCGCTAAAAGCTATATCTTTAGCGACGTAAGATAGCGTCGCTAAAATATATTACTTTTGGCGACGCAATATAACATCGGCAAAAGTGTTACTTTTAGTGACGCAATTTAGTGCGTCGCTAAAAGTTAAAAATTTAGTGACGCAATTTAACGTCGGCAATGTATAATTTTCGGCAAACCATAATTATCTTTTCTGTTAACTACAAGCCTACACTGAACCTGAACATCCACAAAAAAATTGCATCCATTCACATCAACAAAGAAACCAAGCATCAAATTATACTCCAAACACGTTGCTTATTATGATAAACAAAGAATTTACTCACATTACAAATTAGTTACATTCATTTCCATTTCCAAGTCAATACTCAAAGGCCTAATTAAATATTCTAGTTTGCTTGTAATCCATAAAGGAAAAAAAAAGAAATACAATTTGCTTGATCAAATTCGTTGCTTGATCCCGTCTGTTATGTTTCTCTGCCTCATATGGTGCATAATTCTTCCTTTTGCTTCATATTACTATTCCTCCGTTTGCACAATGTGCCTAAGCTGGCAAGCCCAAGCTAAAACTATCAAGCTTGTCCACATTGACTCGTGCTGCATGAAAGTGATTACTATTGCAATATTCGCCTCTTCACCTTCAAAAACAAGTGCAAACGGAGGAATAGGAATTAGAAGGTTCAAATTGACAGAAGATATATGAAGATAATGACAAAGAATTTCAATATTAGTTGATAACTATACTGAAGTAACATACAAATAAATACAATGAGATACTTCAGTTTAATCAATTTTAATTAGCCACACACACAATAAAACATAACTTGCCTAAATAATTAGTAAATTTATAATTGACTCAAAACACTCAAAAGGAAAGAGTAATAGCTCAAAAGTAATAATAACAATAACAATAATAACAGCTCCAATTTTCTTCTTAGTTTTGGGATAAGATCATTTTCCTTTTCTTTTTCTTTTTTATTTCCTTTCTTTTTTTCCTCTCTTTTTTTTGGTTGCTGTTTAAGTTGTCATCTCGGTGTTTTTATCATCATCATGTTGCCCTTTCTCTATTGAAACAAGGTCAGACATCATGGATATACAGGGTCATGAAGCTCTGATTTCTATGGACATCTTCAATCTAGCATAGAATCTTTAGCATGAGAGTTAACTTCATAGCCAAGGCTACTAAAAAAAGAGTTTCTCTGGTAAGCGTAGGCATCTACCATGCCAATCGTTCTAGTTTTGGAAACAGACCACACACAAAATTCATTCCTCTGATCTAAGGAAAATTTCCAGACTCAGGGATAGGCAAAGTTTGCTACATTGGATTGCACGGAACACTAAAATACAAGCTAGCTAAAACCTAGAAACACGTCCCATCAAATTAACAGATGGACGCCTATGGTGTTAATCGTTCCAGAAAGGCTAATCATAATTCAAGAAGAGAATACAACCTAACCTTTGTCGTTTTATCTGAAGTGTACCCATATGCGTACTTGCACCCAAGCTTCTTGGACACTTTTTGAATATATTATATATGCATATGTTTTTTTGGGTGTATACTCAATTATAAAATACATGTTTAATTTAAAACCCTTGTCATTCGTGTCGGGCTTCATAGGTCGATAAATCAAGCACCTTAATAATGAAAGAAAACATCAACATAGATTCCGTTGGCAAGGAAGTTGTCAAAAGTGGAACAAGCTTAACAGAGAAAGGTCAGACAGCATGCTGCTAGGTAATAACATGAGTTCATAAGGAAAGTTCATTAATTTGTGCAAGTAATTCTTAATTTTTACGCATGTTCATCAATTTCCAATTTCTGAAGACAGGTGTAAAGAAAATCTTAAGATATGTAGAACATTCTTCACCTCTCCAACATATTCAATGAGAAACTGCCCTTGAGATGCATCTCAATAAATTATACACCAAGTTATATGGTTCTGGTGACATGACATGTCTACACCATATGGATCATTTTGTAATTTTTATGAGCTTGTAATCAGGAAAGTGTTGGAGGTGGTCAGATGGCAATGCAGCAAGCAAATTGTGTGCCAGTTAAGAGTGACGCAATTGTAAATTTAGGCTGAAAAACCTAGCAGGAAACGTAAAAGAAGACCCAATGATTATCAGGTAACTGATAAGAAGGGTTGAAAAACCTAGCAGGAAACGTAAAAGAAGACCCAATGATTATCAGGTAACTGATAAGAAGGGTTAATGTTTAACATGCTATGACAAGAAGTATACAACAATGATTATCAGGTAACTGATAAGAAGGGTTAATGTTTAACATGCTATGACAAGAAGTATACAACGTATTTGTTAACAGTGCAGATCCCCTCACCGCCTCCATCGACTTCTTCAAACCCTAGGTACAGATCTGAACACCAAAAGCCAAAGATTAAATCTTTTCAATACCAAGCCGGAGAAATGGCGCTTTTGATTGAATATATGGAGCTATGAACTCCGCTCGAGGCTCCTCATCGCCTCCATCGACTTCTTCAAACCCTAGGTACAGATCTGAACACCAAAAGCCCATCAAACAACCACTTAAAGCAGGGACGATGGTGGCATGGGGAGAGAGGCCGGCAAGGCCGTACCTAGGAATTTTAGGGCCCAAGGTGAAATATTAGATGAGGCCTAAGTGATACAACTCATAATAGATTTTATCTCATTCTTCTTACATTTTGAGCTGCAAAATTACTAATTAAAGTTTTATATTCAATATTTTCTAACATATTATTTTCGATAGAGAATATTGCTAAACTATTCAATCTATTTTGTAACATGGTCGACCTTAAATAAGATTTTAGTAATCTTAATTTTGAAAAACTTCTTTCAGCAGAAGCAACTGTTACGGGTATAGTCAATAATACACGATAAGCAATACAAGTTTTTCTGAAGGTCAGGGCACTCATCATGCAACTAAAGTATAGGCTACTAAGTATAATAAGAGATTTTTTTTCTTTCATGAATGCTAAATTCGTTTAACCAGAAGGAGAGGAATTCCCAGCTAATGCAAAATCAACTTATCAAGGTCACATACCAACTATATTTATGTCCAAGAATACAGCAGAATATGTAGAAGAATAAAGATCATGTTAAGTTAATGTTTGCCTCTAATTGTTTGTGTAACCGCTTTTGCACCTCGATCCATCTACAACTTTAAAGCTTCTGTTATTTGCATCCCCCTGACAAAAAAATGAAGGATGTTACTGATCACATAGTCATCACTTTAAGTTTTTAACTGAGATAAGAGTAATGCTAACGAAGCACAACAAAACAATACGAGATAAGAATTAGAGATGCAAACCGATTTCAATATAAACAGATCTGAAAGTATTTCTCCCTTATCTGATGGAATCTTATACATCTTTTATTATTTAAAAAAATTGTGATCACAATCTATATACTTCTCACTTTCGTACTTGTATCTAATGAACACGACCTTTTATTTCCTAACTGTGCTTGCTAGCAGCTAACTAGTGGCATTCGCAGCCAGCAGTTGCACATTAAACCTACACAAGTTACTTGAGTTGTGAACAATTTGTTGTGCGCGTCGCGGAAGCGTGACAACCAAACGGGCGTGCTTCGAGAACCAAATCAAACAAACGTCGAGATAAAGGCCAAACAAATCAAAACAACGGCACAAATCCAAACACAATAGTTTTACGTGGTTCGGCAATTGCCTACGTCCACGGGGCAAGAAGGGGATGGGGTTTTCACTAATAGAGAAAGAGTACACACTGAGATTACAAATCACTCGAAGGAACAAACTAATCTCACCAACAAGCTCTTAATCTCTCCAAACAAAACCCTAAACAAATAGCTCAGAAAATACCTCTTTTCTATGCTCCAAATATCCCCAATTTTTCTTCTCCACCAATTTTCTCTTCCAATTATTCCATATATATAGAAATCCTAAAATCATAAACATACTAGGAATTCTAAACCAAAACCAAATCAAATTAGGAATCCTAATAACCTATTACCAAAATAGATTAGGAATCCTAATAATCTCATGTTACCAAAATAGACTAGGAATCCTAATAACCTCATGTTACCAAAATAGATTAGAAATTCCCTATCCAACAATTCTCCACCTCGGCGAAGTGTTCTCAACACTGAGCCGACACCAACATGAGCACCAATGTGTCGTCTCTCTAAACTCGGCTGCACCAATGTGGTTGCCTACGTACCCCCTTTCCCAAGGGATCAAGCCGCCCGTAGTTCATCCAAATGGCCTCAAAAGGCCCTCAAACAAATAGAAAAGTCTGTAACTCTTCACCAATATCATCTGCATCCAAATCTAAATGATCCCCAATCTGTGTCACTTCACCTGGAATCCCAAACAATGCAGTATGATCTGAAGTATGTGGAGTAAACTCCACCCAACGTGGAGTAGCATCACCCTCCACCTGCTGCGATATCCAAACGACCTGATCAACACTCTTCACCTGCTGAGAATCAAAAGTGATATTTCTGCTCAGAACAAAATCAGAAGCTCCCAACAAATAATCAAATGAACATCCGAATCCCAAACGCGCAATCGGATCAAATCTCACATCCTCCATGTGACCAAATACTGGGCAACCAAATATCCGACGCTAACCAAAATCTAAAGCAGCTCCACCAGATCCCATATCTATACATGCAGCAGTCGGCAACCTATACATGAGACGGCCCAAACATGTCGTAGCCTGCACACCAATGCCAATGCTCGACATCAAACACCGATCCTCCTCCAGAAAGGAACAGCTGTCCAAATCTGCCATCCCACCTTGTCGCCTCAAAGTTTCCAAACCAATGAAGTGTCTCAAACTACCATGAGCTCGGCACAAATACAGTAGGTCCCTCTTGTACCTCCTTCTACAACCAGAATGAAGTACCTTCACCTTACTCCCAATACACTTCTTCAACTGTTGTTGACTACTAGGACTTCAAAACCAACGGGATTTGGTTGCAACCCACAAATGCCTAGTATAATCCCCAACATAGGAAACCAAAATACCAATTTACCTTCCAATGATGCCTCCTTAGAAGGCCCCTAAATGCCTGAATGAACACCAAATAGAAGACCCTTCAATCATCAAATAGAAGTGCCAAACTCCACCTCGGTCTCATTGCTCATACCAACGTGCTCAAAAGGACTTCAATATGCAGGTCAATGGCACTTCTCAATAATCCAATGCACCGTATCAATAAACAAATAACCCAGCCTCAAATCCTTCTATCTCGGCCAACTATCTCAAAGCACCAACAAATGAAGAATAGATCCAAACTGATAAAGGAGAGAATTTTACCTCCAAATGAAACCCTAACAAGAGTCTCCAAACGATCTCACCCCGCACGATGGCAACGAGATCCACAAATAGGAAAAATCTCACATTTATCTCCAAACGAAGCACTCGAAGAGCCTCCAAAGCGATCTACTCCTCCAAATAGCCCAAGCGCCAACAAACCAATACGGAATAAACGAAGAATAGATCCTAACTAAAAAAGATAGAGTCTTTACCAAAAAGATCCCACCTTTCTCACCAAACGAAGCCCTAGCCGAACTTCCAAATTGATCTACTCCTCCAACCAAGATAAAACCCTAGATCTGAAATATGGGGCTCTGATACCAATTGTTGTGCGCGTCGTGGAAGCATGACAACCAAACGGGCGTGCTTCGAGAACCAAATCAAACAAACGTCGAGATAAAGGCCAAACAAATCAAAACAACGGCACAAATCCAAACACAATAGTTTTACGTGGTTCGGCAATTGTCTACGTCCATGGGGTAAGAAGGAGATGGGGTTTTCACTAATAGAGAAAGAGTACACACTGAGATTACAAATCACTCGAAGGAACAAACTAATCTCACCAACAAGCTCTTAATCTCTCGAAACAAAACCCTAAACAAATAGCTCAGAAAATACCTCTTTTCTGTGCTCCAAATATCCCCAATTTTTCTTCTCCCCCAATTTTCTCTTCCAATTGTTCCATATATATATAAATCTTAAAATCATAAACATACTAGGAATTCTAAACCAAAACCAAATCAAATTAGGAATCTTAATAACCTATTACTAAAATCATAAACATACTAGGAATTCTAAACCAAAACCAAATCAAATTAGGAATCTTAATAACCTATTACCAAAATAGATTAGGAATCCTAATAATCTCATGTTACCAAAATAGACTAGGAATCCTAATAACCTCATGTTACCAAAATAGATTAGGAATTCCCTATCCAACACAATTTAGTTATTAAAGGGGGAAAAGAAAACAAAATAGGAAGCTCATGAAAGCATTAAATTACAAAATATGTGCTAGGAAATAGTTTTTTTCTTCACTCACTTACGAAGAGTTGTCAATGTATGACAACTGGCCCTTTTGCTCTCCCTTCTCAACGTTACAACCTGAATAAAAGAAAATTATGCGCCATGGATTAGATTAACATTATACTCAAGTTGTTGTCAAATTAAGGCATCCTTCTGCTAAATGTAAGTCTTCATAATTCTTCAACAAAAGTGAATTTACCATCAGATGTAGAGTCTGGGAGATACTTTGCAAGCCGGTATTTCTTAACAAAACAAAACATGAGATCAGGAAAAAGCATAAATAAATTAGAAATAGTGAAAACATGATAGAAAGAACTTTCATGGACAAATTTTCAAAACCAACCCCTTTCACTATTTAATTGCAAAAAACGACCTCTTTTCAACTTATTTAGAAAAACCGACCTGGTTTCAACGCTGTCGCTGAAACCAGGTCGGTTTTTCAAAAAAAATTTACGAAACTTCACGGGAGTTGAACTCCCGTGAAGTTTAGCATACTTTTGAACTCCCGTGAAGTTTAATTTCTTCAAATAACTTCACGGGAGTTGAACTCCTGTGAAGTTTGTTGGAGGATTTAAAACTCTACGGGAGTTGAACTCCCTTGGAGTTACAGGCCAAATTTCCCAGAGAATTGCTCTATGGGAAATTTAGACTGCAACTTCACGGGAGTTGAACTCCCGTGAAGTTGCAGGTTTTACAAAACATGCACAGGCTGCTGTGCATGTTTTGTATACATCTACCTATTTTGTATACGTCTACCTATTTAACTCATATATACAACTATTTACCTGTTAACAATAATTACTACAATATATATATGATTTAAACACGCACGAATCAAACAATACTCAAAAATATCACATATCGAGCTATAATTGATCCACAAAAGTATAGTATTTGAAA